GATGAATGTCTTGTAGAGAGTGGAGGCAGCGTATATCAAAGTATAGAAACTTTCAGTTGAATAATAGTCTTAAAGCATCTAAAGGAGTACACTTGTAATTTCTTGCAACAGCACATTTCTTATTTTACTCTTACCTCACTACCATTCCTTCCTGTTGTCATTGTCACTTTCTTCTCTGCTCAGTTCCTAAATGATACACCTTCAAAAGTGCTTCCTTCTCTTCCTAAGTAAATGTAATTTATGACTTCACATATTATTTTCATCCCAACAACTTTTCTCTGAGCTTTAGACCCTTATAATCTTTTGCTATCTCCACCTAACAATTCCCTTCTAGGAAAAAAAATAAAATAAAACCATTTATCGTTTCCATGCCTTTCTCCAAACCTGCTCCAAGTTCACTTTTACCCTTCATTCACCAATTATTCAAACCCAAAACTAAGAGTCTTCTATTCTTTTTTGCTTTCACATACAATCAACTACTATGTCCTTATGAATTTATCACCAAAATATCATAAAATGTACCTAATTATCTCCATTTTCACTATTAATCCTCTAGTCCTAGCTCCCCATGCTACTCACATGGACCACTGCAACAGTTTTCTAGCTGGTTCCTTACTTCTTGTTCATGTCAGTCATTTTTCTATTCAATATGACCTTGGAGAAGGAAGTTTCTAGGGGCAGTGTGACAAAAAACAGACCACAAAGCATTTACAAGGGAATCAAGGAGACAAACAAAGAAGTAAAACATTTAAGGGATACAAAAATGGAAAATTATCTGTTGATGATAACATGTATGATAATACCTTTAACTGGACTAATATATAGTGTGTTCATGTTGGGAAAACTCATTTTATAAGCTATAGTGATATGCAGTGATTGTATGTATAAAATAAGTTAAAAAACTAAACAAAAAATTTTAAAAATTAAGTAATTATCTAATTAAGGTTTTATTAAAATTAATTTATTAATCCGTTCACTTATTCATTTACAGGATTTGAGGAGATCTTCACATTCATTTATGAAGGTGTCAAAGTACTAGTAGAAAGAAATAAAATGAATACATAAGATATAACAGGGGATAAGAAAGTAGGTTCTGGAACTAGCTGACTTTTGTTCATATTCTAGCAAAGTGCTAAATATCTAACATTCATTTTTTTTTATCCTTTAAATAAGCATGTGAGGTGAACGCCAATATTACTCTCACTTATTTCTGGATGGGAAGGTAAAATTGCTCGCCCAGAGACACACAGGTAGTAAGTCAGTATTTAAATCTAAGTGTGTCAAATACTGTGCTCTAAAATGATGTACTATAGTCCCTCTGGATTCTGCAGAATTAAACATAAATGTCTCAAATAATACAAAAATCACCATGCTTTCAATAAAATCAGAATAAAGTCATTTATATATTTAAGATGCTGATATTCCCCCTATGAAAAATCCTTATGCAAATAAAACAAAACCAATCAGACTGCCCCTCGGAGCTCATTTGTAACAAGACTTAGCCTTTAACAGAGCAGAAGTTGAAATTCCACAGAGCAGAAGACAAAAACATCCATCATCTTGAAACTGTTACAATGCTGGTGACTGAGAGTGAAATCTGCCCAGGGATAAGGATTCCAGGCAGACAATAATAAAGTTAACTTACTTTTATAGGGAAGTCTAAAATAAAAAAAAAGAAATGCTTTCTTTTATCCATAAAGCATGTTATAAATATTTGCTCTTTGGGTTTCTGTAATAGAACTACCAAGTCTTTGCACACAATACACAAAAATAACCCTAGATTGACCTGGAGAGTGAGGGCCTCATGAGTGATAAATCTGTTGGCCCCAATTTGGAGAGCAAAGTATTTTCTAGAGATCACAGTGCTAGCCATACACATAGTCCTACAAATGCTTTCAGAGGTGCCCCCTAGTAAAATCATGAACAGTGCTTTGATCTCAATCTTTCTTTTTGTAACATGTCCGAATACCTAGGATTAGGAGGCAGGCAGAAGTCAAAGCAAAATTAAACAAACAGTGGAGAGTGACCAGCCCGATGGCTTCTCATACTGAGGTCATGTGTTTGCCTCCCTACTTACAGACCAAGGTGAAAAGTGCATCCTGGGCTCTGGCCAAATATGGTATATAAACAAACATGAAAGAGGGATTAGCTATCTTCCCTGATTCTAATAGGGACCTCCAAAATCAATAGCTGATTTGTGACAACAAGACTAAGTCAATATTGGAACAAAAGATACTGGCTGTATTCAACTCACTCTTAATCTCAGGTAAACTTGTAGTAAATTCAACAATTATTCATTTCCCTGGCTATAATTCTACCTGACTCGGAAGAACCACTGATGTAGGAGGTACACACAAACTCACCACTTGTTTCTTCTAATCAGATCCCTTTCTTCTCTTTTCCTCTCTGACTGGTGACAGGTTGCTGTTTGCAGATCCTTTTTGTCCTAATTCTAATTCAGTCTGTAAGCGCTCTGCATAAAGAAAGAAAGCAGCCTGTGAGCTACCTGTTTCTTCTCTGTCTGCATTCCTAAAGCAAGTGAAGAACCATAAAGAGCAGAGTTTTTGCAAGGAAAAAGACTGTTGATGTTGAACTTGGAAAATGGAAATTTCCCTCCATCTATCTGACAAAATCTAGCAACACCAGGAGACATATGAGGCAAAGTTTATGAGAATCGGGGTGATGTTGTTATGGAATTTCTTGAAGACTTTAAATTGCTCCAGAGATTCAACACCCCCACATCAAAGGATTTTATGAGCTGGTGGTGGGAAGTGGCTAAATCTTATGGCCCATGGTCTTCACTGCAGAGCAGAGTTCATGCAATGTAAGAATTCAAGACCAGCCTCTCCAAATCACATCTATTCAGAATATTTTGGTTTATTAGATCATGTTTAAGAGCCATTTCCTCCCACTACATACACAAACACAAGAAAAGAAAAAAAAGAGTTAAACTCCCAAGTACATGCACTATTATCAACTACATTTTATAGATGAGAAAATTGCTAGAGACAACAGGGTGAATAAGAAGTGTATCCATATTTGCTACCAGAGGCTAAATCCAGGGTCATGGGGATCCCTAGTCACAGTGTTCTACTGTGCTTTTTAGCATGTGTCTTTATCTCTCTTAAATGCAGCTTTTCATCAAGAATGGGTGTGTTTTAGGGGCCAGCAAATGGCACAGCAGTTACATTGCTGAACTCTCACACAGCTAACACCAAGTCCAGTTCCAGACCCAGTGGCTTGAAAATCACTCTGGGAGAGTGTGCTTAAATGCATGCCCAAGATCCTGGGAGGAGAATGGAGGAGAAGGGACTGCAGCATAGGGATTGCCCCCCTAGGAGGTGATTTCTCACTTTCCCTTTCACTGTCTCTGTCTCTCTGATGAGTACACATGCCCTAAGGCAAAAATCTCTTAAAGGTAATAAAAAGAATGTTTTATTGCATATCTGGCAGTGGTGTAATGAGCAGTTAATAGAAATGTAGGTGAGATACTTAGTAAAGACTTGGAACACACAGATCAGTTAACTGTCCAGTTCATTCATATTGTTTTCTTTGATGAAGAAACGGAGCACTATACAGCACAGATTTTTCTGTGCCACCCCTTGGCACAATACCATTGCCTCCCAAATCTTTACATCTAGGTCTTCTGAGATTTTTTGAGTTTATGTTTTAGATGGCATGTTAAATTATCTGAGACAGATTTAGGCTATTCTTTGGGAAAATATATTCATATCACTACTTCAGCATCAGAAAAGGAATCTTCTATTCTCTCTTCATCTGATGACTTCAGCTCTTTTACTTTACTGAGAATCTGACTCTTAAAACTTTGAAGAATAAAGATTTAATCCCAAAGGGCACTAGGGATGGCTGTTTCCTAGACTCACACTACATCCACAATGACAGAGGGAGAAAGTCCTGAGTGCTCAGTGAGAGTAGAGAGTTGCGTCAGAGGTGTGGAGTCTGACATTCACCCACTTATGGGTAAATCATAGTAGAGAGAAGAGGAACATGCCCAAGATCCAGGCTAAATCAATAGACAACCTCCTGCATGCTATGATGTCCATATCACTAGGGAAACCACCCATCACCCTCACTACTACTACTAAGACATTCATATGTGGAGTACTTTTTATACTTTTTGGATACTAGCTAAGGGCTACAAATTCAGTGTAAAATGTGGTTCTGACCTACTGCTGAATGAGTAATTATCAAAACCAATATTTGGTTGGAAGCCAAGGCAGAAACTGAGTAACACTATCACTCAACAATCTTTTGATAAGCAAGAATAAATAGGAAATTTTGGCAAAAAGTACATGCAATGGGAAAAATATCACAATTTTAATCTTCAACATTTCATTCTCAAATTTTAAAAGATGAATTTGTTGAAGGGGAAATCATTCCTAAATACTGTACATTGATACATTTCTCTAGCCTTCACTATAACTACACATTCTCATCAATAAAAGGTTTATTTTCATCAAAGTCATGGAGGAGCAAGATAGTTTTGGGTCTGCTCTGCTAATAAAAGGCACTGTTGAAGCTTATGTGGTTAGCAAATTATTAAGTTCTCTCTCCTCTTGAATTGTAACTGATTGAAATAGTGATTTCCTTTAAATTTTCCCTGAAAATATAGTCACTGAAGTCATCTCATAAACTAAAAGCTTTGGACTTCCTTGAAGAAGAGACTTTCTCAATATTTTCAGAAGCAGGCCTGATGTTATCTGCCTTACTAATCATCTATACAAACTACACATTAAAAACAAAACAAAACACTTTACTTAATCCTTTCAACAACCCTTTATTTTACCATGAAGACATTAAGGTTTAGCAACTTATCTAAATTAGTAGTTAAATGATCAGAACTTAAACCCAAGCAATCTGGACTCTATATACCATGCTACACATTGTTCCAAACAATCATTCCCTAAATGCTGGCAATGAATATGGATTTATATATATGCACACTCATTAATTCTTCCACAACAATTTTAAATAGCATGTTTATGTGTACTTCATAAATAGCATGAGATACAACCTGATAACTAATCACTGGCAAATCTAGTATTGGAATCCAAATATCTAATTCTTAAATATTCATGTGACCCACTACACTTGCCACCTCTCACCATTTTTGTTTTTTGTCACCCCCTAAAGAATTTTTCAACAACATTCAACAATTATTATTGAGCTTTGACAATATAGCAAGTACTATTAAAGTCTAAGATCTAACATTCCCATAAGAAAAAAATGAAGCCTTATTCCACATCGAGAATTAGATTTGTGTTGTCACCCAGGAGAAAAAATACACAGTAACATGGCATAATAAAGAAAAAAAAAATACAGCCAATGGTAGATTTATATTCAACACGACATAATGAAAGAAAAACTGGGGGGGGGCAAGAAATGAATTTCTTTGTTCTTTGCCATTTTGCCCAGAGTCTCTTGAGTAAGAGGTAATGTTAGGTTAGAAGACAGAGGCCAGTTTCATGGCAGTAGCTTCCAGCAAGCCAGTCTCCTCGCTGCCTCCTCCAGCCTCTCCAGGCTCTTCTGGGATGGGCAAGAAGATACCAAGTCAACCCAAGTTCGCTGCTGGGAAGAGGCTGGAGCTAATCCTTTTCTGGGTTGTTTGTTTTTACTGAAATATCTTCCCCCACTTCCAGTTAGCCAGTTTTCCATTATGTGAGTCAATCCAACAGTTTTAACCAACAGAAATATTACTTTTTTCCCTCTAATGTGTGGGTTAAATGCAATGTTTAACATAATCATCCCAAGGGGGAAAAAGTTCACAGTAAAAGATGAATACTCCTCTTTAAAAAAATTGACACAATTAATAACTAAATGGAATAAAGTTTGCAAACAATGAAGAGGAAACTTTTTTTTTCATTTTTTTATTAAATCACAAGCTCTATTGTTTTGTTTTAAAGACTGAATACTTATATATTTCATACATTATGGCTATTTTTTAAAGGAAAACATATAACTATTTTATTAACCACGGTTCCCCTATATTTACTGTAAGGTAAATAGCAGCCCTAGGTAACAGCTCTTTTTCTCCTAAATTACTACTTCCCCTTGCTCCCTGGAGACCTAACTAACTCCAGTTTGACAAAGATTGATCCTCAGTCGAGACTGAAGAAGTTGTGCTTCTCACAATACACTCCTCACTTTGCAGTTCACAGTGGCTGAGTTCCAACTCTTACCCAAACCGCTCAGGGGTCATACTCTCTCACTATTCCCAGCAAAATCAAAACTTGTTTCTTAAGAGGGTTCTTGCTAACATTACTTATTAAGATGAGTTCTTGAATATTGCATTTCTCTTAGCTAACAGCAGGCTGAGGGTTTAAGTCTGAATGAATCAGAAACATATGGCATGCATTTCTCTTAATAGTGCACTGGGTTTTTATAATTAAAGGAGAACAGCGCTACAGGCAAAGTATGCTTTGAGAAGATATTGGAAGGCAAACATTGGATGGGATTGAGGATAGCCCATCAATGCAAAAAACAGATCTATTTTACCAGGGAGGACATCAACCCTTCATGGAAATCACCAAGAGAACATTTCATTTCATTTCATTTCTTTTTTTTTGTTTTAAAAGAGATTTTTGCTCTAGGGCGTGTGCGCTCACCGGAGACACACAGAGAGACAGAAAGGGAGGAAATCACCCCCCAGGGGAGACCGCCATGCCACAATCCCTTCTTCATTCTCTTCTCAGGATTTGGGGGCACACATGCATACATGTCCGGCATGAGTTTTAAGTTGCCAGGTCTAAGACTTGAACCATGGTTGACTACATAGGAGTCTAGCGACATAAACATTATGCCATCTGCTGGTCCCTATTTTACTTTTCTGATTCAGTATTTATTCTCTTTACCCTTATTCAGAACTTCCGTTCCCTTTACTAAGATCTTCATTCTTTTTAGAGTTAATATACTATCTTTGTTTACAAATTTCTTTATCCCAAGACCTACACGATATGGAAGTAAATGCTCAGTTATTGAGTGTGGGACCCAAGTCCAGTTCTGAGATTTTATTGGGTCATTGGAAAAGTCATGATGCATTTTTCTGTTTTAATATTCAAAAATATGTCATGAATTTTCTGACAACCCAATATTTAAAATATTTATTTATTTATCTACCTTATGAAAGAGAGAGAGAAAAAGTGAGAAAGAGAGAGACAAGAATCTCTAACACAGTGTGAGGCTACAATCTTTCCCCTAGCCTTTCTCAGCAAGTCAGGATCCTTTGCCCATGCCCAGTGTGTACAGGATGACCTGGAAACTGAGCCCTGAACTTCCATATGGCCTCCGGTACTGCTGAACAGTGTACTGTTGCTGTGCCATTATGACTGGGCCTTAAGCCACCTTCATGTCAATCTTATTTAGTATTTATGGGGAACTGACACTAGTTTGCAAGGATTATTTTCACGTTTAGGTCATCCTTATCAGATATGTATCCTTAAGTGAAAAAAAGAG